CAAGCTGTGCATGTAATAAAGAGCTGCTTTGTAAGTGACATTTACAAGTGCAATGGATTATAGGTAAATATCCACCTCAATCAGCGCTCGTTTTGATTTCTGTCTCATAAAATATCCTGTTACTATTCCGGTGTGAGAAACCACTGCAAATATATGAACTGACTGAATGAATCAAACTGAACCTCGAAACATTTCAGCTCTGCAAATGCATTTGACCAATTAGATCAAAAGATTGTTTTATTTGTGAATTTGGCATCACTATTTCTGATTATAAACAGCGGATAGAAAACACATATGACATGATTGTTGAAATATTATCAAATAAAATGATTCTCAGGTCGGTAAACTGTACATCAATCCAATTGTCACATAAGGATTTATCAGTAGTATTTTACTGGGCCACAGCGGTATAACAGTTCATTAAGTGTTAATGATACAGATTTCATTATTTACGAAACAAATTTGATTCAGCTATAAAGCAGCTCTATAGAAGACAATTGTTATTATCCAACTCAATTTAACAAATTGTGAACAAATTGTTGTTTCGAGTCAGATATTTGCATTTTGAATCAGTTCATGCAGTTCACAAAAACTGGTCTGAATGATTTGTTAACAAATCATAACAATTCAGCTCTTAAGTTCAACTCTCTGACTCACTGATCCAGTTGAGGTGGTCAACAGCTCCCTGGAGGGGGAGACTGTAATTAATGACCCTGGTCTGTTTATCATATGGCTCTAGAATGTAATGCACAAAACACATGGGCCACTTTTATGACACTTTTGTAGCATATTCTTTTTGAAGCTTGAAAGCTCTAGTCCTCATTCATTGTAACTGCATGAAGTGTAATTTCTTCTTTTGGGTTCCTCTTAAAATTTTTGGGTGAACTATACCTCTGCGTGCGCCATTTTCTATTCTCACAAGTTTTACGTAAAGAATGTGATATGAGAGGTTCTGTTGCAGCAACTCCTTTATGCATGATGCAACTCTTTCAGAATATGTGGCTGCAGATTATTCAATGCAAGGTCTACTGGGGTCCTGTTATAACAGGCCGAGGCATTCTTTTGAAATGCAGACTTCTTTTAAAAGCGCTTGTTAAATTGGTCCCTCAAGCTGCATTGCACCTTATTAATTGTAACACTTTTAACCTTGTCATCACTTGGAAAAATCACAGAAGTAGCCTTGAGCTCCTGCAGGGGTATCAAGCATGAGTAAACATGCAGTAACTATGTGTTCTTGGGTTTGTTTCTTGCAGATCCACTGTGAATGAAAGCCTGCCCTCTCCACCAGTAAGTGCCGTTCAGAGCCACAGGCTTCCTCAGATACACTCTGAGTCTCAAGAGCAAGAATACTATGCACCTATTTCCAGGCTTATGCAGGTAACAAGCCACACTGGCATCACTGTGGCCAGCAGACTATTGATCTGCCTTATCTGAAGAGATTCATGTGTCACCACCTTGATTTATTTATTTTTATTAACGCTTGCATACATTACCTTTCAAAAGTCTGGGGTCAGTAAGATTTTTTTTTTCTTCTTGAAAGAAATGAATATTTTTATTCAGCAAGGATGCATTGAATTGATATAAAAATGAAAGACATTTACACTGTTTAAAAATGTCTATTTCTAATAAATACTGATCTTTTGAACTTTCTATCTATCAAAGAATCCTACAAAAATGTATCACAGTTTCCACAAAATATTAAGCAGCACAACTGTTTTAACAATTAGTAATTTTTTTAAATGTTCTTGAGCAGCAAATCAGCATATTAGAAAGATTTCTGAAGGATCATGTAGCACTGAAGACTGGAGTAATGGCTACTGAAAATTCAGCTTTGCCATCACAGGAATAAATTACATTTTGAAATATATTCAAATAGAAAATATCTATTTTAAATTGTAATAATATTTCACAATATTTCTATTTTTACTGTATTTTTAATCACATAAATGCAGCCTTGGGGAACATAAGACTTATTAAAATATTAAAACATTACAAATCTGACTGACCCCTGACTTTTAAATGGTAGTGTACATACATGAAACATACATATTTCACAAACACAATCTGATGGGTTTAACGTTTGCCACTGCCTTATGCTAGTTATAAGTGATAAAGTCTATGTTAACCTTGTCATTCACACCTCTATTGAAACCAAATTGACCACTGACCAACCATCAAGATATGACTTTTCAAAACCTGAAAAAATTGCATATTCAAGCAGTGTATGAGTTAGGTAGGCATCAAATGTTTATCTAACATCTTGTCTACAAAGATGACTTCATCTAGTTGGGTTTTAAAGACAGAACATATGTTCTTCATGGTTAATGTTATCCCACAATTATGTGCTTGCAGACAGATGGAGTGGTTATATTAATTCATACATGTTTATTTTTTTGTTATTTGAGAAGCATGCATTATAGTGATTAAACATTTGCTTTTCTCAAAAAAAAAAAATGAATATTTGCATAGCTATCTCATTTGAATTAGATTTGAATTTATTTGACATCATGGTGAAAACTATCTGAAACCTTTCCACAGTTGTACACAACTTTTGTGTAAATTCACAAGCAGAAAGGTGTTTCAGCATCCCATTAAATAAAAGCTAGCTGTGTGGACTTTGATCTCTGTAAACAGAGATAGCAGTGTTTTTTTAAATGGGTGAAAGGGGCAAACTGGCTGACTTGACTTTGGAAACAGTAAACATGGTTGCCCTTTGCCCTTTTACAGAAAATTCAAAGTATCAAAAAAGAATCTGTGTAAGTAAAGGTGTATTTAAAGATGGTTGGCTATTCCGTCTGCACAGAATCAAAGCTGTATTCATTCTCTGTATTTCTTAGCTCAGAGGAAGGATCCTAAGAGGCGGCGCTACCAGTGTCATGCACGCAGTAAACAACCTCCCACCTTTGAGAGAGCCCACCCTGATGCTGGAGTCTCTGTCTCGGCCCAATACTAATTACACATTCAGAGTAAATCTACCCTACAATTATGATTACAGTACAGTAGTGTGGATGAAAACAGCATACATTGCAGATGACAATGCATACATTGAAGAGAAGTCTTGACGACGTACACGTACAGTCAGGAGTAGCCATTGTGATATCAGATGTTAGGCAGTTATAGCTATAGGTGACCAGCAGTTTAATACAGAACAAAACCAAAACTGCATTTCTACACAACTTCGTAGAAACATGACGCCACCTCCGACAAGGAAGTGATATAAATACTTTCCTGGTTCAGACACTGCTGTAGTAACAGTGCTCGAAATAGGAGGTAAATACGGAGGAGTCTATTGTTAGACGTAACTCATGCCATGTTTTTGTTCTGTAGTCCGACACCCCTATGAAAAGGTCCTTCACACCCATGGATTTTGCCTGTAACATGAGGACAAGTCAAAGACTTGTCAAAGGTGGGTCACTGGTACAAAGTATGTGCCTGATCTGGCCAGTGGCACGAGGAACAACACAAACATACAGTACCGTGGATTTGCCTTCTACATTTTTACTTCCTAAAAATAAGTCATATAAGAAAAATAAGAAGACAGTGTAAGCTTTTTCTGTATGTCTCTTAGGTGAGAGCACAGCTATGGGAGTGACAGGTTTCAGTATGGGCATCACCAGCTCTATAGCTAGTGGGTTCTTGGAGTGTGTCACACCCAGCAGGAGGCGTCTACCCTGCGCTGATGGAGACGGAGGGAACATGCCCCTGCTCGGCTCTACAGGTCAATGCGCTACTGCTTATTATTTTTAATTTAATATAAAAACAACATTTTATTAGTTAATGTCACATTGTTTAAATCAGTTGCCCTTTGTTTATGTTTACTTAATATACAATTCTATCTTTAAAGCCTGAACCAATTAACTTTGCAGTCTATACTCCATAGACTGCATAGAATCAACAAATAAATGATCCAGAAAAATAAGCAATGACAGAGGAGCTTTAATTCAAAGGAATATTTGTGAGTTCTTTGAAAGAATTATTGTATTTATTTAGCTTTTGGGACACTGGAGATTAATTAACGTGTTCAATAACGCACAGTCCTGGTAGAGAAGAGATTAAATCATCAATACCGTCTGCTTTCAGGTGGCCAGAATCATCGGAAACAGCTGAGCCGGTTTCCAGTGTATGTGAGGAAGAAATTTCAGCCTGTCATGCAATAGCAGGGTAGTTCATTTTGTAATTAAACGAAAGAGCTTAATGAGCCAGACATAATGAATACTATTGACTGATATGCACTGTCATAATATCACTTGATTGTGATTCAATATATGGTTTGTTACCTGATGTCCAGTCACAGTTTATGGACTTCACATTGACCTCAACATCTGGAGCATCCCCGGTATTTCCTTTTATAAAATTATGAAGGATGAATGCCAAACATCTTTTGTTATTGTAAGTTAATGCATTTATCATGTAAAGTATAATATTTATTTGTTTTTACTGCTTAAATAGATGTCTGCGGCCAACAGGTTGATTAAAAATGATTCATAGCCTAATTATTTCTTTTTCAGTGATACCAATTCTACCAAACTGTTGTGTTCAGTAAAATTTTATTGAGACTTTTATGTGCTTGGTGGAGTCATTTGCAATAAAATTGTTATATAATTTGGCAAAGGTTCAGTGATATATCACAGCGATCAACAGAGAATATTAGACGTTTGTTCCCTGAATTTCTTAACAATAATATCAAAAAAGTCTCATTTTCACCAATAATATTGGTAATATTTTCGCACTAATATCATACTTTAATATCATTTTGAAGAATTAAATCCATTGGCTATTCAGGGTAAAAGGTGCTTTTCTATCTTTAACAAAAGACTTGGCAGAGCTCTTCCGTGGGAGAAAGACAGCAGAATTTGTGCCAGTAAACCACAACACACACAAACAACAGCCACACAAAAGATCCACCAATAATATGCCAGATCATTATCTATTGCTGCATTAGCACTGCTGTCTGTTAATGTTTTAGCGAGAGGCACTTTACCCACAGATAACCTGCATGCGTCCCAGTTATGTATCATAACGCCATCTGTTTGATCAGCCTAGGGTGTTTTTTCTCTCTCTGTTTGTACTAAGCAAGTGAATCAGTTAAGTCTGAAGTTCACAGTGAAGCAGCCGGTGCGCTTCTTTCAGAGCATTAGCTGCGGCCAGCTTCATCCAAACAAAATGGGTGTCCTTTTTGGATTATACATCTTGGGGATTATATTCACAGCCATTCTTTTACTCCTTTTAGCATCTACTACATATCATCCACTTAAAAATTATATAGGAAAATGGAACGAAATGAGACCAATTCCAGGAATGCCGGGCGCTTATCCAATCATTGGCAATGCACTGCAGTTTAAAACCAATGCAGGCGGTAAGAGACTGTTCTTTTTGAGTAGCATCAACTCTTAATTAACAACGATCATTTAACACTGCAATTTTATAAGAGTGTGTTTCTGTTGAAGATTTTTTCAACCAGATTATTGAGGGCACAAATGAAAACAGACACCTTCCTCTAGCAAAGGTGTGGGTGGGTCCAGTCCCCTTTCTGATCTTGTATCACGCAGAGAATATTGAGGTGCCTGTTACGGAAATGTTATCCTTTCCATTTACTGTATAATTTTCCTCACAGTTTCCAGTTCATTCTCAAACCTATGTTTTCCCATCAGGTGGTCCTCAGTAATTCTAGACACCTAGACAAGTCATTCGCATACAGGTTCCTGCACCCCTGGCTCGGCACAGGCCTGCTCACCAGGTAGGCCTACGGTGGGTTTACCACCAGTTTTTATGAAAACAGTCTGTTTACAGTCTGTTGTAATGCACACTGTTAACATAATACATGATTTGTAGAAGTATTATGTAGATGAATAGGGTAAATTCAGTTAAATAGTTTCTTCCATCTTAATATAGTTTAATAATAGACAAACTGTAAGCAAGCCATTCATTTGTAGACTAATTTTACCCAACATGTGTAAACACTGTGACTTTGTTTATTTGAGCATCTAACCAGCTTGACACAGCAATAGTGGCTTAACCAATTGAGTGAGTTTGGGGCGGGATCTCTTTCTTCGACCAATTGTAGATGAGGGGAGTGTTTGGAAAAGAAATCATGGTTAAAGGCAGGTGCATAAACCCAAAATGAAAAATAAATAAATAAAGTATTTAAAAATATATATTTATTTTGTTATTTCAGTACTTTCTGAGGGTTTTTATATTTATGTACTGTACAGTATTTGGCAGACTAAGAAATGTACACTGCATTAAAGGTGTAAATCAGTTCATGCATGTGCATTTGCATCTTGCATATCGGCATACTTGTGTTTGAGCTTCAGAAAACCACAACAAACAAAAAAATTACATTTAATTAAAAAAAAAATCTAAAATATAGTTTTGTGAAAAACAAATGTAAAACAAAAAACACTTGTTAAATACATTCCTATGTTATTATGGTTATATTTATGCTTATATGTTGAGCAGTATTAATGTTAAAGGTTTATTGTTTTACCTGAATAAATGAGTGTCCAGAACAATAATCATCATACCCAGAATTTTAACATAATGTTTAATGCTAGGTGATGCTAGAAATGATACCACGCTTAATATTTAACAAGTTTTAAGAGTACTGCTGTCTTGTATCTCTCTGTTATCTTAAAAAAGCTGCAGTCCTGTCCTTCAAAGGTCATAACATTTAAAGTCAAACTAAACTTTATTTCACATACGGTAGAGGACCACCTGCCAAACCGGCAGATCTCATATCTCATATTCAAAAGCAGCTTGCATCAAGCACTGCAAACAAAGTCTATCAAAAGCACAGTAGTTTATAATCAGCCACGCTGGATGGTCACTGACCATCTGTCCAAATGCAGCAGAGTCCAGAAACACCGAAATTGAATATAAAATGATCTCCATGTTCACTTTACAGTAGTGAAGCTATGTTGAGGTCACAGACTTGACTCTTCCCAACTTTTCTTCCAACAGCACAGGGGAGAAGTGGCGTAACCGGCGGAAAATGCTGACTCCAACCTTCCACTTCTCCATCCTCTCTGACTTCCTAGAGATGATGAATGAACAAACCGATATTTTGATTCAAATGATGCAGAAGCACATAGACGGAGAGCCATTCAACTGCTTTAGCTACATAACATTATGTGCTTTGGACATCATATGTGGTACAGTACATTCAGTCTTTCCATATAGTGTGATAGCACAATATGGGGTTTTGCTGTTTGCATGTACATGCATGCTAATGTAAAAGGCCTTATGCTTATTGTTTAGTTATAATAACTATTGATGATACATGGGATGTGTGTGTTGGCAACAGAAACTGCAATGGGAAAGAAGATCTATGCTCAGAGCAATTCTGACTCTGAATATGTGCAAAGTGTCTATAAGTAAGTAGTGTACTTCAGTGGTAGAGCATATGTTCTTGCTAATAAATAGAGATATGTTGTTCTCTCTGACAGTGTTTATATTCCTCCCGCAGAATGAGTGACATCATCACCAAGAGACAGAGAGCACCATGGCTGTGGCCAGATTGGATCTACAACATGTTAGAGGAAGGCAAAGAACATTCCAGAAGACTGAGAATTCTTCACTCCTTCACTGCAAGTGTGAGTGATCAGCGTTATTATTTATAGGGTGGATTCAAGTAAATTGGGACACTTTTTGCCTTTGAGATGACTAGGAAAAAATAATTCAATTATCCTGAATTAACCCTACACTACTGTAGAATTTATTCATATTTTGAATTAGCTTTTATTTTTATATTTTCTGTATTAATTTTAGTTTTAGTAATTGTGTTATGTGCTTTTGTCATTTTTATTAGTTTTAAATATTTATATTTGTATATATATATATTTTTTTTTGCTATTTAGCTTTATTTTTATTTGAGTTTAGTTTGTCATTTTAGAAATTAAATCAAATTTATTTCAGCATTGTTTCAACTGACAAAAAATATTTTTTGAAAATTATTATATTTAACAATAACACACAATGTAGTGTCAAGATAAGGTTGCTTCAGGAAAATTAAGTGATTTATTTCTGTTCTGTATCACACACACTTTCCAAAAAAAAGACAGATGGCCGTCAAATACAAGCCTCCAGATCATTCTTACAGAATTTTCTGTGTTTTCCTGAAGGTCATCAAGGAAAGATCGAAGTCCATGAGCTCTGAACCTGATAGTGATTCTGACCAGGGGCCGAGGAAAAGACAGGCCTTCCTAGATATGCTGTTAAAAACTACTTATGAGGATGGAGAGAATTTGAGTCATGAGGACATTCAGGAGGAAGTGGACACCTTCATGTTTGAGGTACAAATAAAACTACCAAAGGAAACTCTGTCAAGACAGAAGATTGTTTGAAGAACCGTTCTCTTTGACAGGGTCATGATACCACTGCAGCTTCAGTGAACTGGGCTTTACATCTGATTGGCTCCCATCCTGAGGTCCTGAAGGCAGTGCAGGCAGAACTACAGGAAGTGTTCGGTATATAGGTCTTTCATTGAGCGTAATGCTTACCTACCATGTGTTCTTAATAAAACAATTTGTTCTGCTCAGTAGTCAAGAAAGCATCTAGATGCTTGTGAATGTTTTCTAACAACCTCGTTTACTGTAGAGCTCAGCTGCGTCTCCTGCATTCTGATTGGCAGGTTCGTCAGACCGCCACGTGGGGGTTGAGGACCTGAAAAAGCTGCGCTACCTGGAGTGTGTCATCAAGGAGAGTCTGCGGATCTTCCCCTCCGTGCCTCTGTTTGCACGCAGCATCTGCGAAAGCTGTCAGATCAGTAGGTGGCAGCAGTTTGTTACCTTGCCAAACAGTGCTACGAGATCAAAGATCTGCACTTTTTGTGCCACTCTCATTATTTGCATCTCAGCATAACGGCAGATGTCAGAGCTTCTATTTCCATCTCCCATTTGCAAATATGAAGCAACCTGAGTGTTTATTTCTACTCAGAGCTAAGCTTTTTATTCACGCCAAAGCAGCTGGATGGAAAACGGCAACTTTTTAGGATGGAAAGTGTTGCAAAACGCAATAAACACATCCGTTTATCAATTATTTATTAAAGCTTTGTTCTGTCTCCCACACAGCGGTATAGTTTGGCGTGTGCTGAATCCTGTTTAACAGTTAAAACTCTGTGACATGAATAACATAATTGAAAGACTGCTGTTGTTGTGTTGCTCGGTTGCAGATGGGTTTAAAGTCCCAAAAGGAGTGAATGCTGTTATCATACCATATGCTCTTCACCGGGACCCGCGCTACTTCCCAGAACCTGAGGAATTTCGACCGGAAAGGTTTCTGCCAGAGAACAGCAAAGGGAGGCATCCATATGCGTACATCCCTTTTTCTGCAGGGCCAAGAAACTGCATCGGTAAGAAAAAGAGCAGAATGATAACAAAAAGATTTTAGTGGCTTATAATAGAAATTATAATGCTGAATTCTATCCAGTATAATATGAATTATTGTGAAAAGGAACACATTTCTGTTTTGGTGTTGATAAAGTAACCCTTACTGATGGGTTGTGGGGGTACATAAGACAAAAAAGTTGGGAATCACAGCCTAATGCTAAAACTGTACCATACCACATTGTATTAGATGGGCCATATGTATAAAGATGGGAATCATAAAGAATTTAACGATTATGCTGATTTAAGTCTCACAATTAGTTTAAAGTTGTATGTTTTTTATTAATTAAAAAATGGTTCATAAGAGTCATTTGTTCAGGAATCACACTACAATACAGTTGGTGCATTCATGCATTTGATTCACTAAAAAACAATTCACTAGAGACATTTGTTTGGGAATCAGACTATACTAGCTGCGTGCTTCGTGTTTGATTCACTAAAAAGAACCAACTCAATGGAGACATTATTGGGAATTGGACTGCGCTGTGTGCGCACGATATGTTTGATTTACTAAAAAGACCCGACTCACTAGAGTAATTTGTTTGGAAATCAGACTGTACTGGTTGTGTGCTATGTGTTTGATTCACTAAAAAGAACCGATTCACTAGAGACATTTGATTGGGAATTGGACTACACTGGCTGCGCGCGATGTGTTTGATTCAATTAAATGAAACAGCTCCTTAGAGTCATTTGCTCTGTAATCAGACTGCACATGTTGAGCCTGTTTCCCATTGTAGATACAGTAGCGTCATTCGGTTCTGGTAGTTTTTTTTTTTTTTCTTTTAAATGGAACCAGTTCTTGGTTTCCAACCCTTGTCATATGATATCCTCAGAACTTGTAAGGCAGAGGTGTCCAAATCTATACCTGGAAGGCCACCGTCCTGCAGAGTTTAGCTCCATCCCTAATTAAACACACCTGAACCAGCTAATCAGTGTTTTCAGACTAACTAGAAACAAAGCCATTAGCCAAAAAATTGTGACGGCTAATGTTAACGCTGCCACTTTGGCGGTACGCAGGGAAGGAGACCAGAGGCCGTTTTTTAAATAGATCTCAATGGAGAAGTTTCACTACATAGAATAAACAGCTTTTTTGAGGAAACAGCTTGTCATTTAATGAATCGACAGCATATCGGCTAATCTTCAACTTGTTTTTTATTAAATAGTAGTTTTCGATTGAACTATTTTTAGAGTTTACACCGAAAAAAATGCCAATTTTCTATGAGAACATTAATAAAGACCCTCGTATCTCCCAATAATAAGACCATCTCTGCTAGAAACTTCTAGGCAATTGTTTTTGAGCTGGTTGGAGCTAAAACCTGCAGGATTTTGGCCCTATGGGTGCAGGATTGGACACACAGAATGTGTTTATCCATTCTATTGTGCTACTTGTTCATTGTTTTTCTATATGAACACACTAGATGGACGTGTTTGAATGTTGAGCTCACGTCTTTTGCAGCATCTCGCACATGACACACATTTTAAAAACACATTGCTCAAGTTAAAGAAGTTAAATGTGTCTCGAAAACTTACATCAATAGTGCAGTTTCTCTTTCTATTATACATATATTCAAGAGTCAATCCACGTATTTAGCATGGATAGTTAAAAGAGAGATGCAGTGTACTTATAATCTCTTTGGGCCTCTGTCCCACCTCTGAATAAAACAGATTGTTTCACAGCGAGTGGTGCTCGCAGGTTCAGGTCACTGGCCACACACTAGAAGAAGCTTCTAACAAAACATAGCTTTGAAGATTTATTATTTCAGCACTCGACTCATCTCCACTGCCTTCCAGGAATGAAAGCTCCAAATAAGAGCATTTAGAAATGTACTTCATGAACTTCCCCATCTCTTAGTCTTGTTGCCATTCTGAGACCTTATTCTCTCTTTCCCACTTTCTCTTTGTCTGTGCATGTGTGGCTCCAGGCCAGCGCTTCGCCATGATGGAGGAGAAGGTAGTTCTTGCTACGATCTTGCGTCACTTTGACATAGAGGCGTGTCAGAGCCGTGAGGAACTGCGGCCTCTGGGGGAACTCGTTCTGCGTCCTGAAAAAGGCATTTGGATTAAACTACAAAGAAGAACCAAATAACTCTCACCACCATTAAAACTTAAGGTAGCTTTAGTACTCACATCACTGACATGCTAGAGTTGTTGTGCTGCTAGTTATGAGCCGATTCACATACAACTTGCTAACTTCTTTTGCATTGTCTGTTCTGATTTTATGGGGAAATGCGTGGAATGATGGTAAAAGGAGAGCTGAGCGTATCAGGTTCTTATCGGTAGCTGAAGGCGTAATCAAATTAGTCAAAATATCATATAAACAAACACCCAAGTGGAGGCAGAAGTTTGTGAATGACAGGTGGTCAGATTCTGCAGAATTTTCATAAGAGTTCTGATTCCATGTGGACCTAGTTATAAGTTAGAAATAATGTACACCCAGCTGCTCAATGGCACAAAATAAGCCAAAATAGGGTGATCAGTTTATTGATGACCCCAACACAGCTACTTACCGTATAAATGTACATAATATATATTTCGGTTGAAATAATTTTATCATGTGAGAGGAAAGAGACAGTAGAGTATTTTACATTAAACTAGCACAGTAAGTGTGACAATTGAAAATTGTAGAGTTTAGTGGTCATTCGATTCATATATTTAACCACAGAACATCATAATATACTGATCAGAATCAAGTCTGTAAATCAACTCAATGTGAGGCAAAACTATTTTAGCACTTTCACACTATTGTTTTTACTTTATGATATTGAAACAAATATGTAGTGTAGATATTTTATAAATCTAACAATATGAATCTGTATATGCCTTTTTTCTGTTTTGCTGAATGCATGATCAATAAACAAAAAAAAAAGTAATTCAGTTTGTACTTAAATGCTAAGCTTACACATATATGACTACTTAACTTTAATGGGTAATTACGGGAAAAAAAGAGAATGTACAGAATTGATCATTTCATTTCACAAGAGGACCAGCTACTGCTACTATGGCACTACCTAATGAGTAAGACTGGATAACACTGGGAAACGTACCGTTCTACTTGGAACAGGGACGTTACGGAAGCTCCTCGTCCTCCCTGACGTTGCACAGCAACTGTGCAAGAAGGCTCACTGGGGGAAACGCATACTTGTGAAGGCCCCGCGGCCAGCTGTGTGCCAGTGTGTCCGTGCCGAGTGTTCCCTCGGCCAGGGAGAAGAACAACTGGCAGTGAGAGGTTTCTGGAGAGGCAAACAGGTCTCCCTGAGCGGCTCCGAAACGTCTCCAAACCAGCTGGACCGTCTGGGGATGGAGTCGCCATTCTCCCGGGAGCGCAGCTCGGGACAGCTTGTCGGCTGCCCGGTTGAGCAGCCCAGGAATGTGAACAGCACGAAGCGACCTCAGATGCTTCTGACTCCAGAGGAGGAGGTGGCGGGCGAGTTGCGACAAGCGACGGGAGCGCAGACCACCTTGTCGGTTGATGTACGCAACGGTCGCTGTGTTGTCCGTGCGGACTAGTACATGCTTGCCTTGTAAGCGCCCTTTGAGACGGCTCAGGGCAAGGTGCACTGCCAGCAACTCGAGGCAGTTGATGTGCCAGTGCAGTTGGGGCCCCGTCCAAACCCCTGACACTGCAAGCCCGTTGTACGTGCCGCGTTGCCACGCCCACCTCGGGACTCGTAAATGATTCCCTTTGAGCTAAATTGACCTGTTTCCCTTACACCAAGTCCAGACTTTTGAACAGTAATGTAGTTTAGATGATTGGAGAAGATTCACTAAGTACTTAAAGTTGCAACCAGAGTTGCAGTATTTCTCAAATTCACAGATCTGTTGCAGAAATGCCAAGTAATAAAGCAAATGGCACTTAAAACCCTCAAGGCTCTCCATTATTAGTCAGCTCAAATCGCTGGATGAAAACAAACCTTTGGCATAATTATTTTCAGACTAAACTGTGTCTGCACATCCAGATGTACCATCCTCACCTTATTCAAATACACACTTTGAATATAAGTAACATCTTAAATCGAACTGACATCCATCATGGTGGAATGTCTAGAGGCTTTCGTTTAGTGGAAATGTTTTCGTTAATTAAAAGGGAAATTTAAGTCTCGGTGTGTATTTTGTCCCAGTCAACAAAACACTTTCAAAAGAAGCTCAAAGTGATTTTCATCAAAAGCTCAATTTAGCTCAGAAATGGTCAAATGGGTACAACATACCATACCTTTGATATTAATTGGGGCAATACTTTTAATTTGTTTGTTTATCTGGAGCATGAGCAACGACCAAATCATTCTATTTGTTTTTGGGGAGATTTGGCTAATTATAAGAATTTGCAAGAGTAAGTTTCTCAGTTCTCCGTCTCTGATGTCCAGTACTGAATATCTTTCATTAAGCATTACTTCACAGCTTTCCTTTTGATGCAGTTCAGATTCTACAAGCCGTCACCGGTAGAATTCTACTATTGTTCTGAGCAGAAGTTGCTCATCTTTTTTGAACCTGTTCTGTCTGCTCATTTGGGGCTGATGGGTGATAAGGAGCAGGGCTCCTCCACAGAGAGGCAGTAGTGCTCTGAGCAGTGCTGGTGAGAGGACACCATACACCGTCAGACTGATGGGAAAATAAGCTGACCCTGCCAAGCCCCAAACCGCTACTGCAACTTCACTGAAAACAAATCAAGAAAAAAATCTAATTTGATGCAAAGAGTATGGCACAAACTCCTAGTTAAAACTGATGTTAAAGGCATTTTTCTCCTATCACTGAGATGAGTGGAAATAATTATGTAAATTTACTAGCTGCTTAAAGTGATTTAAAAAAAAAAAAACATTCTACTAGTACTAGTACTAGAGTGTTATACTGTCGGTGAAAATGTGCATGCATGCTTTAGAGATGAGCGATTTCAAAGAGGTTTACATTCCGTCTGTGTTATTAGATCTGTGTCACTCCTCCCTCAGAAAGCAGGAAATCATTTACAGGTTGACCGCAGTCTTGAATCTCACGCATGCAAGCTCTCCGACTTGAACCCAGCATGTGGTCACCACTCTGATCACACCTGAATAAAAAAAAATGCATTTTTGTAGGCTAGAGATCGAGAGAGGAACACTGATGTCCAAAAGTCTGAAACAACTATTTTTTTTTTTATTTGAAATTATATCATCAGCAACAAACTGAGTGAAAAATTTAGCTAAAATGACATTTATAAAATGTCATGTAGAAACGGTTCTATATTTGATCTTGTACGTGTGATTTGTACGCACAGAAAATGTATGAACGCCTCTCTTTCAGATTTGAAATTTATAAATCGCAAATGTGCGCACCTGAATGGTTTCAGATCGCTGCTTTGTAAACGCTGCCTAAATAATGTCATTAGCATATAAAAGAGCACCAGTCAACTTCCAAATCCTTTACTTGAAAATGGCGAGAAGCAAGAATTTCTTAGATACCAAATGCTTGCAGAACTTCAACTCTCTGCCATATCTGCATAGACCCTGACATGGCGCTAAGCATTTTTCCACATCAAAGACCGTGTTTATGGATAATGAACCTTGATATTAGTGTAGACACACTTTAAGATCAAATCTGTGCATATGTTTTATAAATGAGGTCCTTGGTTTGTCCCTCTTTTGTCCTTCAGCACTCGAGCTGCATGAATTTAAACCTGATGATCATATTCTCCTGCATGATTTCAGATCATCCAAAGAGCGTCTTGTGCTTTTATGGAAGCAAGAACATCTGACTGTCTGTACAAAGAATCACATTATCATAGTCACAAATTGAATTATTTGATTAGCAATCTAGAAATAGAACTGAATCTTAAATATTTCATTTGACCTCTTAACGGTTTCTTTGTTTTGAATGTTCCGAGGTCCTAAAACTCTCCGTTCTGTTTTCTATTTCAAGGTTTAATGAAAAGAATCACAGCTTTTCAGCGTGGTCTCAGACTATTGGGGCCCACTCTACTTCTAAACATATGGTAGTATCCACCTGTACTAACTGTGCAGCAGGAAGGTGAACATGTGCCCGTGTTTGCTTTAGCTGGAAGGCAGAGTCATTATAGCACAGGGAGATTACAGCAGATAACACAATCTTAAGTGTTCCATTCTTCAAAGGACACGTCTCATCAGACGCTTCTACCTACGTCTGCCACGCAGAGATCAATGCTATCCAAAACATAAAGGAGAGTGTCAAATCCCTTCTTCTGGAAACAACTTGAGTTACGTTTAATAGTGAAGAAAGTCTTTAAAGTCACAGGTGTAAAAGACTGGGGAAGAGATGGCATCAATTCAGCCATTAAAGCAAGTATATTCAATAATGAACCATTTTAATAGTCAGCATCAAAATAGCTATATTTTCACCAAATTTTTTATAGAGCTACCTCCATTTTAAAAGTGATGCACATTATATAAATGCATGCCTCTGATTGCTTCTCTGAACTTCTTCTTGACCTGAGGCCTGGACAAGTCAAACAGGAATAAAAGCGGACATAATTGCTCACACAATCCATTTGCAGAGGGCAAAGGGCTACTTATTTACAATCATTGAATTTTTTTTAGAACTTAGAAAACTGTCTTTGTTTTTCTAAAATACTTTGAACACAACAGAAAGATGTTCTGATGTCAATAATTAGCATAACTTAATTGGTCTCTTGCAATTAAAATGCAAATGGAAGTTTAACTATTGCAGACGATGAAAACCGCTTACTGTCATTTGTATATGACAAAGGCAGAAATATTGGAGTTTTTACACTGAGTTTTTTTTTTTATAGCAATTATTGCATCAACATTGCAGTATATCATTTTTAAGGAAGATATTGGTAATGGTAACTAATGATAATTTGTTATTATCACACAGATCTCTGGAATACTTCATTCTGATTGGTCAATCAATATATCTGTATTTCAGTACACTCACACCGGCACTGCCTCGCGTATCACACTGCAGACTTTATCTCCTCTCATTTCATACAAATGCAACTTGCACCATCATTGCAATGTGCATCTTGTTGTAATCGTTTTGTATTTTGTAATGGAATATTTTTGCTTGATGGAAACTTTAAGATAATATAAGGTAAAACGATGTCAATATATTGTGTCCATGTATATATTTATTAGGTGAGCTAAATGTTACTTAGAAATAAATGGTGAATTCAACAGAAACTATTTCATTTCAAGCTTTCAAAAAATCTAGCCTAGCAATAATTTTATGCTGACAGTAAAGCTGAAAAATGATTGCATATTTAGGGGTGAATCAGTTGTGAAGGTCACACTTTTTCCTTTTATCCGAGTAGAATTTGTTTGTTTTGATCCTCTAATGCAAAATTCATATAGAGGCAATGTTAAATGCAAAATCAGAAAGTTGACTTCAAACACAAAGCGCATACATCATTTAAATGTCAAAATACTTTGACAGGCACCACTACATGGACCATATTTTTGTTTTTTGTCCTTTTGATAAGGACCTGGGTTTGGAAACTTCTTCGGATGTACCCCACATTTGCACTTTAATCTTGTGTCATAATCATTTAGCATCACTGTTTATATTATTTGAAGGCACCAAAACTGTGTAATAATAGTTTTAAGTGAGCCTTTGTTAAGTGGCACATCAATATCTTTAGTCCATTAATAGGTCTCTATAGTTGTAAGCATGTGCTTTTTGAAATGTTCATGGAACACTTCAATATTCCTCGCAGACACTGAATCGAGCCAGTAATCCAAACCCTAGCTAATTGGAGTGTGACTTTAGGTCACGCTTTCAGAGCGACCTGGACTTAGA